TGTGTGTGTGTGTGTGTGTTTTGTGGACCTGGAGGAGGCATTTGATTGTGTTCCTCAAGATACACTATGGGTTAGGGATCATTGTTACGAGTCATTCAGTCATTAGTGGTCCAAATGTTTGGTTCACATTGCCGGCAACAAGTCAGACCCCTTCAGCATGGGAGTTGGACTCTGCCAGGGCTGCCCGTTGTCACCAATTCTGTTCACAACTTTTATGAACAGAATTTGTCAGTGCAGCCAGGGGGCAGAGGAAGTCCRCTCCAGTCGCCTCATGATTCTCTCTGCTACTGTTTGCGGATGATGTGGTCCTGTCGGCATCATCGCGCCGTGATCCTCAGCTCTCACTGGAGCGGTTCGCAGCTAAGWGTGAAGCRGCTGGGATGACCATCAACTCCTACAAGTCTGTGGTCCTTTGTCAGAATAGAGTGGATTGCCCKTTTCTGAGCTTGGAGTGCAGTATTGCCTCAATGAGGATGTTCAAGTATCTCAGGGTTTTGTTCTCGAGGAAAGGAAGAATGGAGCTTGAGATCGACAGGCTGATTGTTGCAGCTTCCACAGTGTTGCAAACTCTGTCTGTTGGGCTGAAGACAGAGCTGAACTACAAGGGGAATCTCTCTGTTTATCAGGTAGTCTATGCTCCCCTCACCTATGGTCATTAACTTAACAAAAAGAAAAAAAAGAAGAAAAGTTTTTTTCTGATACGAGCGGTCAAAATGAGCTTACTCTATCAAACAGTGATGATGAAAAATGTGACGTTTTGTTCTTTTAAACTAAAATGTTATGTTATGATTCAAAACGTGAAATGATACAATTTCTATTGTTAAACCTCAATGTCTGTACATTACTTTGATTTAATTTCTTTACTTTTCTTAAAGCCATTTTAAAACTGTTCATATGATGTAGTTCTTTGTTTATTAATGTGTTTTTACGTCTTGATATACATGCTGACTGGACAAATATCTGTCTGAACAATGGATGATTAGCCATCTAAAATATTCTGCTGTTAAATATTTCGAACGAACTGAGATGAAGGTAATCAGCTCAGCAGCAGCTGAGWGTGTGACTGCAGACTGACCGGAATGTATTCCTGCTCACGCTCCAGTCCTCGGAAGCTCAGCTGTTCAAGTGCTGACCTCAGTGCTACATGACACTCCGAGACTCTTTTAGTCATCACTATTTGAATGGGTCTCTTCAGCTCACTGAATGTTCTTAAAGCAATAAGAAGTCAGATAAATGAGCRTTTTCCTTTTCATTATGTCTTTTTCTTAACTCAAAGAATGATCAATAACACATCAAAAAACTAACAGGGAACAAGATCAACCCTTTTTCTTGTAAACCTGTTTCCAAAGGCACAACTTTACTACTGCAAACATTACTTCCTCTATCATACACGAGTCTACTTTAGACTAAAATATTTTCCTTTGTTGAAGGCGACCTGTTGTTCCAAAAGAAAAGAAAAATACCTGTCTTAAAAACTGAGCATCATTAGTTTGGGATAAGATAGGACAGATATTTATTGTCATCATACAGTGATCTACGGTGATTTTGAGTGACGTAATGACTTGTAACTTCTTCAAATTGATTTTGTTTTATAGATGTTCAACTGATGATACAGCTCTGTACACTGCTGTCGCTGGTAACAGCCATGGACAGGCTTCTAGTCAGGCATCCATCATAGTAAAGCGTAAGTTATCACGTGTTTTTTTAATGTACAACAACAGTATTTAACTCTTATGTAAGTGTTGTTTTTTAATAATAAAGTAAATACTAGAAAATGAGAAGGAAAGAAAATGTTATACAGCTAGAATTGTGTGCTATTTTCTATCATAGTTTTAATCTTCTGATTCAGTTGATAATTTAATCAATGATATGAATGATTTACTATCAAACTGAAGAAGCATTTTGGTCTACAACAGTGAGATTACCATGTGTCTGMTTGTACGATTTCCCAGTCTTTATTTTTATGGCATCATCAATAACTTTCCCCTTTTTTGATTATAAAGGATATAAGGATGAGGAGGAATCCAGTCCATATGCATGGCTGCCTTTTACAGGTAAGCATCTTACTGTGATTATCTTCAGCTCTCTTTTGGTTTAGATATTGTAATACTAGTAATTTCTTATGCTAGAACTATTGCAACATATGAACTAAATATATTTTTCCCATTTTTGAAAAAAAAAAAGAAAAACAAATTAATAAACTGTTACARCAGCTCTATGCCCCTTTTCCAATAACTGTCAATATTTTTTGTTRTTTCCTTGTTTTCCAGCTGCTATGCTTCCCAAGATCCATTACACTAAAATCCACATAACTTTTGARGAGACGTTTGGCCCCATATTTGCCACAGAGGGAGAATCTGCCACTCTATCTGCCACCATGACCCTGAACCCCAACCTGGCCAACCTGCAGCCTGAGGCACAGTGGTATAGAGATGGTAATTGTTTCAAAGCAATATTTTAGGACAAATAAAATCTGCTATATTAATGTGAACTGACCACCAGGCAGAAGCTGGCTGATATGCAGCCAGCGGCACAGCAGAGGAAATGAGAAAATRTCAAAGTCTATATTTTTATTGCCTGTTAATTATATAGAACATAGCTAAAAAGGGCTCCTCTAATAATCCCTAAATTTATGAACAGTTTTATTCATGTTGTGTGTGTCTGGGAGAAGACACATTTCTTTCAGGTTAATGTTTTTATGTGGTGAATCACTTTATTCAGTTTTCATTATAATTGAATTTATGCTGTGCATTCATGCGTGAATCGATTTTGTTTCTAGACACCCGTCTGTTTGACTCTAAATGGGTAAAGATTGAAACAGGCAGAGGATTCAGCACATTGACTCTTCCAAACCTCTACAAAGATGATGAAGGCCTGTACACTCTGCGTATGGTCACAAAGGGAGGCACAGCGGAGCAYAGTGCATTTGTTTCAGTCGCAGGTAAAATTAAAAATCACAGGCAGATGGCCAACCATGTGAAAACAGTAGCCAAACTATGAAGAATTTAGATATTTTCAATTTAAAATTCTGAYCTTTGATTTTACTTGGATTGATTGACCTTTATTATCATTATAATGCACTATTTCAAAAGACCCCTCTTCATTTTCCTTTGGTTYAGATGGTCCCCCTCCTGTTGCTCGTGCACCTGGTGCTCCTATGGACATAAAGATCCATGATGCCAACAGAGACTATGTCATTGTGTCATGGAAGCCTCCAAATACCACCACAGAGGGYCCAATCCTTGGATACTTTGTGGACAAGTAGGACTTTTGACATGCACATGATAAAAAGTTAAATTGAGTGACATAAAAAAAATCAACTAATGGATTTCTTTTGTGATAACATTATGTTTGTTTGCATAGCTGTTGTTTTCCATAGACAAATATCTTTTTGTATTTTGTGTGACCAGATTTRGTATGTTTTTAAACTTATTTTTTCCATGTCACTATAAAATCAGAAACGTAGATGTCTAAATAGTTCAGACTGTTCTATTGATTTAGTCAATTTTACAATTGCCAACATTTCAATTATTTATCTCTCATACTTATCTTTTTATTACTTTTTTATTTCAAGATGTGAAGTTGGAACTGAGAACTGGACCCAATGCAACGATCATCCCATAAAGATCTGTAAATACCCGGTGTCTGGCCTGTTTGAAGGACACTCCTACTATTTTAGAGTCAGAGCCGTTAACTCGCACGGAATCAGCAAACCTTCCCGCATGTCTGACCCGATTGCTGCAATGGATCCTACTGAGTTAGAGAGACTTCATAGTGGGTGTCAATTCTAATTAATTATTATTATTATTATTTTTAATACAATTTATTTAAGACTCTAAATAATGCTGSTTTATTATGCTTTAGTCTGTATAAACGCGTGGTTTCAAACGTCAGTATATACATAAAAAAATGCTGCATAATGCACTTTCATTAACTTTATCAACGGTGATCACACCAGCAACTAAATACATTATAATAMATGTCCTTGTAATGTAGACCAACAGTCATGTTGTTTTCTTCCTGCAGCCAAAAAGCTTGGAGGAAAACTGGACGTTGTGTCTTATTATGATGAAGTTGAAGGTAAAAAAAAAAAAACATAAATGTGAATTTTCGAACTGGTTGTGATTATATGATTGGCTTTTTTTGTATTTTTTTCAGCTGAAGGAAAGCCTCCAGGACCTCCATCAGGAGTTTATGCTTCAGAAATAGACAGGACATATGTCGTATTGAGCTGGAAAGCCCCAGCTTATTCAAGCAAGGCTCCCATGTGGTACTATATTGAAAAGGTAACAAAAAACTGTCATACTTTACCCAGTTACTTTAGAAATTACTCTGCAGTTATTCTTATGAAAACCTCTCATCAATGCTCCTTTTGAATTGGGTAAATACTAAAGTTTTGTGGTTCTGCATTTGATGCAAATATTGTCCTTTAATTTCTTGAAACATAATRTTTTGGATCTGTGTGTCTCCACAGGCCATGGTGAACACTGAAGCCTGGCAGCGCGTTAACACTAAAGTTCCTATTCGATCCCCTCGTTATGCTGTTTTTGACCTGGCAGAAGGCAAAGAATATAAATTCAGAGTTTTGTCTGCTAACATGTACGGTAACAGTGAGCCATCAAATCCAACTGGACCTATTGAAACACAGCAACTTAAAGGTCTGTTTCAGCTATTTTCCAAACTCTTTCATGATTAGTGAATAATGTGATGTATTAATCTATTGTAACTAAAAAAACTTATATATATATTTTGCATTAAGGTGTGCCATCTGCTCCTGGTCAGGTGATTGCAACAAGAGAAACAAACACTTCTGTTCTCATTCAGTGGGCTCCTCCAAAAGAACCCAACAATCTGATTGGTTATTATATTGACCAGTGTGTGAAGGGGTCCAACAACTGGACCTCAGCCAATCACAAACCTCACAAGAACATCAAGTATGTTTTAGGCCAAACACAGACGCACTCAGTGTTTCTGTGTATGTTAGATTGATTATTGRTTTCAAAGCAGTGCGAGTGTGCTTGGTTGTGTTTCTGTGACGGACTGGAAACATGCTATTTGATGAAGAATTATATGTTATGCTCACACAACCTTTAACAGGAAAAAGAAAAGATCAAATGCATGATAGAGGCAAAAATAAAAGCAATACTCAGAAGTGTTTTGTTCTCTCTCCAGATTTGTGGTTAGTGGTCTGACCACAGGAGAAACGTACGTCTTCCGTGTCCAGGCTATCAATGAGCTGGGTCTCAGTGATGAATCCCAGGAATCTGCACCTCTCAGTGTCAGAGCTGCTCTCAGTCAGTATTGCCACATTTATGGCCACTGCAGATCCTAAAATTGATTTCTTTAAGGTAAATTGTTGCCCTTTTGAAAATAAACACTTGATTCTGTATTCTTAGCCACCCCCTCAGCTCCTTACGCCATTGCGCTGGTTAACTGTGACGGCCGTTCAATGGTTCTGAGCTGGAAGAAGCCTCTTCATTCTGGAGGCGCAGAGATCAAGGAATATTATGTGGATAAAAGACGCAGCGGAACAACCATGTGGAGGGAAATACACATACCACCAGTCAAGGAAAGACTTTATAAGGTAACATATGAGTCAGTGTGGATGGCTTCAAATCCCACATATTTACTACAATTTCAACTTTTTTGTGTTAGTTGCTTTGCACAAAACTGACTTAGGTGAATCATAAAACACTGTATGATTCAAACAATAACTTGGATTTTGGTCACCTTGATGATATTTACCTGACAGGTGGAGGGCTTAACTGGAGGAGCAGTCTTTCAGTTCCATGTTTATGCTGCCAACTTGGCTGGCCTCGGACCAGCATCCAAACATTCAGACGACTTCACATGCGAGGCCTGGACAATGCCAGAGCCTGGTCAGTAAAAACTTGTCTTTTGTCTGATTTCATCCCAATCATGATGAAACTTTATCTTACATTAAGAGTTTTTGTTTTCGTAACATTGTTTCCATTCTCCTGTCTTCCATTCCTATAGGCCCTGCTTATGACTTGACGTTTTGTGAAGTGAGAGATCACTCAGTGGTAATTGAGTGGCAAAAGCCTCTCTATACTGGTTCTGGACCAATCACAGGCTACCATGTTGAGTATTCTAAGAAGGGGACCTCTGATTGGACTGTAGCTAATGAGGCACCTGTCAGTCAGTGCTTCCTGAAGGTAACAAGTTCTTCAGGTTTTAGTACCTGATGTTATCTTTATATAAGTTTAACATAACATGTAATTACAAGCATCAATATAAACGTTTGGATCTTTGGCACTAGTTTTACAAACATGCCAATGAGAATATTTTAAACGGTTTCATACTGACATCTAGTGGATAAAGTAAGTAATTACTAGTTTAAATGCAAAAAAGAAATTTTAGTTTGAAAACTGAGGATTGTTTCCAAAAAAATAAAATAAAATAATGTAGTAAATGAATGGCAGTGTGATAAGTGAGTAAATTTAATTGATTATTTTGCTAATTTGTTTAATTCTGCATTGTTTTTTTCTTTTAAAGTTTCAAAGCTACTTAAAATGTAAATAAAGCCAACTCCAGTGACTCACAAATTTTTAAAATAGCATAGAGGGAAAATGTTAAAGCAAAACATTTTGGATAAGGACAAAAAAATGAAAGAGGGAATGTTCAAATAAGCATTTGGTCAACTTAACAAGAGGGGCTTGTTGCAGGAAATTAGGATAAGTGATGAAGCCTGTATTTTGGAGTAACCCTGAATTAATTAATCCTTATTCAGCTGCAAAAAAGAGGACACATACAGTATGTTTCCAATGTAACAAGAAACTGACCTGATTTAAAGTGCAGCTTAATAACTTATTGTTTTGAACAGTAGGCAGTCACTTCACTGCATTAATTGTTGATCTAACCAAATCTTACACTTTTATATACAACCAAAAATTATTTTTATCCTTATTTTGAGCCTGATTTACTAAGCAAGAGCATAAAATGTTAGAGTATTAATCTTATTAGCCTGGAAAGTTTTCCTTATTTCAAGGAATCTTTTTTTACTGCACTGGTAGATTATTAAATGTTATTAATTTGAGAAGATTCAGACTGTAGTAATTTAAATTAATTTTTAGATGGATATTTTTGCAATGTTTCATACACTCAATGCATTCAAATATTAAAAGTCACAGAGTAAATTTAATATCAAATTGTCCTTAAAAACAGCTCCAAACTAAATTTACCCTCCAAATTTATTTTAAGAGCTTGCCTTTATGCCAAGTTACTAACCTCCTTTGTGCCCACTTCCCCCTCACACTCACACACCCAACCCCCTCAACTCCACCCCTCTTTGTGCTCTGCACAGGAGATCTTCCCCTCCCCACAACACACAAAACTCTGGCCAAGTTCAAATAAAACAAAGGGGCTGTGTTATAACTGTAAACAGGCTCTTTGTAAAACTCTGAGGGCAAATACTTCATTAATCCCGAAGTTTATCATTTGAGAGGTTACAATGGAAAAACAAAACAGAACAAAACAGAAAATTTTAAATGTTTAATAAATTCAAAAACTTTTCTGCATGTAAAAACAAAAACAACAACAGAAAAAAAAAACATTTTATTCCTATGAACTTTTAGAATCAACTTTTAGAATCTCAGCAAGGCTGAGAAAACTTTTTGGTTAAACAATGCTGGGAGAGAAAAAAAAAGAAGTGATGCAATGCAGTGGTAAACCTGCTGTGCTTATTATGAAACATGTTGCAGAGATAAACTTTAAAATGAGCACATAGGTTTTTTTTATTACAACAATAAAATATCTCAGTTTACAATCATGGTCATGTTTGTCATTAATCTAGACTACTAAAGTGTTTTTGTCGGACCAGTACATTGTTTTTACCAACAAAGTTTTTAGATTTTCTTGACAAGCTTGAAAAGTTTGCCACTGTTTTACTGGCTCGCCTACCTTCAGTGAGTCTGTKTGTCAACTTTTATAAAAGTATGAAGTTTAGCTTGTTCTCTCAACATTGGTTCTGTGTCTGTGTGTTTTTAGGTAAAAGGTCTTGAGGAAGGTGCAGTCTACGTGTTTAGAGTGCGTGCGGTTAATGCTGCAGGAGTGGGCATGGCCTCGTTTCCCTCTGACCCTGTGACTGCCAGAGCTGTGGCAGGTAACCACTATCAACAGAAAATAAAAACCTTTAAATAGTTTTGGCACCATAAAATATAGYAAAGGTTGTGTTTTTGTATGATACACATTTTATGAAAGTGTTGGAGGTCAAAACCTCACAAAAATACTTTAGAAGTCAAGCTTTCAGTGCCACTTTTTGAGCCAATATTAGCTACAGTTYATGTGCTTGTGTGTGTTTGTGTATTGAAGGTACCCAGGAGGTCTCCTGTGTGGTAGATGAGAAGTCRGGTGACATTGTTCTGTCGTTTGAGTCCTGCCAAATAAATGAGGGCTCTCAATTCATCTGGAAGAAAGATTATCAAGAAATCACAGATTTCTCCAAAGGACTAGTGATTAATACTGAAGGCAGCCAGTAAGATGTTAGACACCTGCAGGCACACACGGCCTCACTCACACYAGTGTTATTGCAAATCATTGACACRGCCACACAGTATTACAATCTTTGTCTAATATCACTCTCTGTGCTTTTGTTTATCTCTTTCCTACTGCATCACAGCTCGAAGCTAGTCTTTAAGAACCCAAATAAAGAAGATTTTGGATCATACTCTGTTTCTGTCACCAACACGAGTGGAGTGTCATCCAGCTATACAATCTCAGCCGAAGGTACTGATTCATTTAAACTTGGGTTGGTGGGCTTCTGGAACAAATAAGCCAAAACTTTCCTTAACCAGGAAACAGAATCTGCAGCCCCACACAAATGGAATTTATTCTGATCCTGCTGTAGGTTCTCTGTTTTTCTCCAGCRTTTGTATTACATCCAGTTGAGACGTGTGATTTAAAACAGATCATTTTTGCCCTGATAATAAAAAAATTGAACAGTGTTACAGTAACATGCAGATACGTACAACTGAAGCATGGAGTGAAGCAATAAAAAAATCAAAAAGACGTTGTGTATTGAGGGGCTGAGGTGAAGTGTGGGATGCAGTTAAGATGAAAGCAATGAGACTGTACTTAAAAATGATTTCACTGGCATGTTGGCAATGGAAAAAATTCTCCAGACCGCTGATGAATACCATCTGAGCACATTGCTTATATTATTTCTCCAAGCCTCGGGCAGTGTGTGCATTTTATCACTACGTCTTCTTAGGAAAAGACTTTCTGTCAAGAGTTTCACTGTATTTTTTCCCCCTGTTGCACCACGGTGCTGCCCAGCTGTGATGTGTTATTCAGTGCAACCTCTGCTGATTCTCTTCCCTTCAGCCKGCAGATATTTCACCTTAAGTCTCAATATGTTTTTGATCTGCTACTTTATAAAGTTTGGGTTTTTCAAGCACGTTACAAAGGATCCAAAAGCTGATGTGGGCAGGCTTTAAGCAACACTGAACCACAGTGTCAGACTGCGTCACAAATGCTTCAGTGCTTTTCCTGTGAATCTATTTGTTTCTGTCTTAATTTGAACATTTATCTGCTGAATAAACACATGTAGGCCAATGACTCTCCAATATTTAAACTATACATGTATATATATA